TGAGCATTTGTCATATATGGCCTTTATATATTCCATTGATTCCCAGATTTTCATGGATTTTCATTATAAATGGATACTGAATCTTATCAAATGCTTTCTTTGCTTCTACAGCTATGATAATAATGGCTTTTACGCTCCTTTTTGTTGATGTGGTGAGTTATACTGATTGATTTTCAGATGTTGAAACATTCTTGTGTTCCTAATATAAATTCCACCCAGTTTTGATGTATAATCCTTTTAGTGCATTGTTAGATTTAGTCTGCTAATATTTAATTGAGGATTATTGCATCTATGATCATTTTGGCAACTGCTTTTCTGTCTTTGTGTTGTGTGAATTAGCATAATGTTGGCCTCATTAAATGTATCTGAAAGTATTCCTGATTAATTTTTTGAAAGAGTTTGGGCAGAACACATGTGAGCTCATCTTAGAAAGTGTGGTAGAACTTGCTTCAGAAGCCATCTGGTCCTGGACTTTTGTTTTCTGATAAAATCTTGATTACTATTTCAATTTCCTTGTTTGTGATTTGTTTGTTCAAGTTTTCTTTCCTTTTCCATCGTGGATGTCTGTATAATTATAAGAATCCTTCCATCTCATCTATGTTATCAGACTGGTTTCCATACAAATGTTCATGATAATATGATTATCCTTTGAATTTCTGCAGAGTCTGTTGTAATTTCTCCACTTTTATTTTTGATACTGTTTTTTCCCTCTTTTTCTTATAAGTCAGTCAATTTTGTTTATTTTTTAAAGAACCAGCCTTTGATCTGTTAGATTGTGTTTTTAGTTTTTATGTCATTTACAGAAATAGATTTTCATATTTCCGTCTTTTTACTGACTGTTAGGTTTTTTTATCCTTTTTCAAGTTCCTTGAGATGAGAGGCGAAGTTGTTAATTTGGGCTCTTTCTTTCTTGATCTTGGCCTGCATTGCTACATACTTTCCTCTTATTACTACTTTTGCTGTGTCCCATCATTCTGAAAGTTTGTGCCCTCATTATTTTTTCTCTCAAGGAATTTTTTAGTTTTTCTTTGACTTCCTCATTAACCCAGTGGCCTTTCAGGAGTGTTTTGTTAAGTCTCCATGTACTAGAGGACTTTATTATTTTATTTTTGTAGTTGACTGTTTTCTCCAATGTCTGTTTAAAGATTTGACAGTAATTGTCTGATTTATTTTGGTGCTGCTTGGTTTGGTAAGTATATATTGATGAGTATTACTCTTCCTGCTTTATTGTTCCCTTAATCATTGTATAGAGTCCATCCCTATCTCTCATTACCTTTTTTTTTTTTTTTTTAAAGATTTATTTATTTGTGCATACAGAACTGGGGTACAGGCCAGAGGCTCAGGGGCGGCAAGAGTGGGGAGCAGAACAGGCAGATCGATGAAGTACACTGCTGAGGGGAGCAGCAGGCAGGCCAGGAAAGGTCTGCCACGCCATGTGGTTGCCTCCGGGGCAGGTGGGAATCGAACTCATGCGGAAGTGGCTTTAGCTTCTTAGTGCAGTGCTTTAACCCGCTGCGCCACCCGGGAGGGCCCTCATTACCTTTTTTTAAGTTATAAGTGCATATTATTTGACATAAATATTGCTGTCATTTCCTGCCTTTGATGTCACTTGCTTATAAAATTATTTTCCATCCATTTAAGTTTAAATTTATCCTTGGAACTTAGGTGTTTTTCTTGGAGGCAGCAGCAGTTGGAATCTGTTTCCTGACCCAACTCATTATTCTGTGTCTTTTTATTGGGGAGTTTAGTCCATTTACATTTGGAGTGATTACTGACATATGATTGCTGCTACCATTTTGTCCTTAATTTTGTGATTCTAGTTAATGCTTGTTCAGCTTTTTTGAATGTTTATTCCTCTCTTTGGTTTAAATATTAAGGCTTCTTTCAGTATGTCTTGGAGGGGGGCATTAAGTGGTTACAAACTCTCTAAGATGTCTGAGAAGTTCTTTATTTCTCCCATATATATGAAGGAGAGCTTTGCTGTGTGGAGTATTCTTGGTTGGCAAATTTTAACTTCAAATATGCTGAATTTGTCATTCCATATCTTCTTGCCCATAATGTTTCTTCAGAGAAGTTTGTTGTTAGCCTAGTCAGGGTTCTTTGATAGGTTATCTGTTTCTTTTTCCATGTCAACTTCATTATTTTTCTTTGTCCTGGTCTTAATAGAAGTTTAGCTATTATATATCTTCTGTGGGTTTATTTTTTTTTCATAGGCAACCTGGTGTTCTGTTAGCTTCCTGTATTTTTATGTTTAGTCCCCTCTTCAAGTTTGAGAAGTTTCTTTCCATTATTTTTTAAAATAGTTTTCCAGTTCCCTTCTCACTCTTTGAGATATCTATGGCATCAGACAATTCTCCAAGTCTTTCTCCATTTTTTTTGCTTTGTGTATCTCTTTTCCTATTTCACATCTTTCAACATTTGGCTCTTTGATCTTACTGACTTGTTTAGTCATTAGTTTAGTCTACTTCTTTGACTTTCTACAGAATTTTTCATCTCTACTGATCTTTCCACTTTTTTGAATTTCTACTGTTTTCTTACTTAGCATTTCAAATTTGATCAAAATTCAGAAAAACAGTTTTGATCAAAGATATGAGGAAAAATATATGCAGGAAAACTCAAAAAAGCAAATGAATGCTATGGCAAAACACAGTTTTCTTTAAATTGTTCTAATTCCTTGATTTTCTTATTAAGATGGCAATTTTTACTTCTGTATCTGATAGGAATAAAAGCTCTTCCTTGTCTTTGTGAGTTGGTCTTGGATATTTGTTTCCTCTTCATAATCTACTGTTCCCCCTGGGGACTTCCTTGGCCATTTGGATTTGTTTCTCCCCATAATTTTCTTTCAGTTTGTTCTATAGTAGGCATTCTTGCTGTGAGTGGGTCCTCCTTTTCCACTGTTCAGGTCATTTACCAATTGGTGGGTATGGCAGCTGGTGTTTGTGGAGTTTAATGTGATGCTAGGAATTCACTTCAAGTCTACTTATGTCCAGAACCCTGGCATTGCAGCATCTGGGACTAGACAGGGGCTGGGACCAGACATGGAAGCTTACCTCAAGGCTGTTTGGGGCCAGGATCCAAGCATGACAGCATCCAGAGCTGGGAGCTAGGGGGCCTTTTTCTAATGGCCTACACACATGAGCTCTAGCCAAGTTTTTCTTAGGTACATGGCTCAGATCTTCACTTTGTCCCTGAACAAAAGTTTTCCTTTTCTTCTAGATTTGAAATATCCTCATGAACAATAGAGGGATGAAGTGCCAGAGAGTGAGTACACCATAAAACTTTAGAGGTCCCGTGGCCAGTTCAACACATTCCTGACCACTCTTCCATCTGACATAATCTGCTTCATTTCTTATTTCTTCACAGAAATGCCCATGACCAACAGTACTGGGTCCTGGCATCCAGATGGCCAGTTTTGTTTCTTTTCAGCTCTTGCTTCAGACTATCAAGCCATCTCCATGGATAGCCATGCCCCATGGATAGCCCTTGCCCCATGGATAGCCCTTAGGGTCCTCCCTGTACTATCTATGCTTCCTGTCCTCCAAAAACAATAGCATTTGGCAGCCCAACCACAGCTCTCTGAAAATCCCTTCACTTGGAAACCACAAACTCAGAAAAATGTCAGGCTCATGGGAAGGGAAGGGTATACTTTCAGAAAAGGGTTAGTTGTAGCTAGACCAACCCTACAGGAGAAAGCCGTATCAGTGCAAGTGGGGCACTGTGTCAGATAATCTGGGCTACCTTGTGTCTAATGTCACTACCAGGTCTATCTCTAGTCTTTTTGGTAAAGGAAACTTATTCCAGGCAGACAGCAACCATTTCCTGATCTCAAGGATATGTGTAGTTGGTGAAATCATGTGATTTCATTTGGAATATAATCGTTAGAAACAGAAGGTCTGGGTCAGATTTTGCTTCACAATCACACGAGAAAGTCACTTAGCTTTCCTGAGCCTTGATTTCTCTGATATAGGAAAGCAGGTAACCAGCCCGTTTGGTCAACTCTATGGAAATCTTGCATCCTGGTACAGCACAATGCTAGATGCACTGATTAGGTCTCAGTATTTGCTGCTTTTCCCAGTTCATGCTTCTGACTCCCTCATGCAATTTGCCCCCACTAGGCACACAACTCCTAACCAAGGATGTTGACTATGACAGGCTTTAGAAATTAGCATCCATTTGTCATGCCTTCACTTGAAATTATGTGAATAAACTAATCCTCCTTAAAGTTGGAAATGTCAAAGTTTACCACACCAAATGCCACTCCACCTGTGAAAATCAAAAAGCTAGAAATGTAATCTGAATACACAGCATTTCTTCAATTTAAAAAGTCAAAAAGTTATCTATATAAAGTTAAGCAAAACTAGATTTAACCTTTTCAAGAGTGGCTGCTTTCAACAACAAGCAAAAATGACACTGGGTCTGCCAGGCATGACAGTGGAGATAAAAGGGAAAGAAACATTTGGTGAGAAAGGAATGCAGGACTGGGAAAAACTGAGTCTTTTCCCATGACCACGATGTGCAGGGCTGCCAAGCTTACCTCATGGACTCCAGATATGCACACCAGCAAGTCAGAGCACAATCCTTGCTAGTGTGAACACCCAATCCACGACACAACCACACAACCTACCTACCCTCCTGACCCGAGGGAAGCTCCACTCTGGGAGAAAAGCATCACATCTCCTGTTTATTTATTTACTCACTCTCAGTCACAACTCCTCGTTATCTCCTGGAACTCCCGACACTGTCTTGGGCACATGAGAGGCTCAAATGCATTCCTTCTATGAAAACAACATTTTGTACTTTCCAGGAGGGCATGGGGGCAAAATGTCTCCACTTCCTGACCAGTCCTGCTAAGAGAATAGGCAGCAGCCATGTACAGACCTATCCATGTGATGTGCAGGTACAGAACATGTACACACATATATTTGTCTAGGTGACACACAGGTATAGGACATCCTCATGAATAATCCTGAACTAGGTGAAACGCAGGTACATGTACATACCTGGACCCGAGTGATATGCAGGTACAGAACACAGGTCACCAGGAAACAGATGCAGAACACCAACAGAAGCAGGAGAGCCACACTCCTGGACATAGAAGACATGCAGTCACTGTGAGCTGGGGCCGGGTGAGACAGGCCCTAAAGACGCCAGGGAATCGACCCACATCCCACACCCCACCCATCATTTCCCCAGCCTGCAGGGAGAAGCAGGGCCTCAGGAAGAAGCAGCAAATCTCTGGGGTCTTGTCCAAGCTGGTTCTCTTCCTATGTCCACTCCCGAGTTCTACCCCTGCAGCCGAAGGATCTCCAGTCCCGAGAACTCAAGAAGAAACATTGGAGTTGTCCCGGCATGGCCACTGGACTCTGCTCTCTTACTGAACTTTGTCTAGGCATGGATTTCCTAGGAAAAGTTTGATCCCATATGGACCCATCAAGGTGGGGACCCTCACCATGCGCTCACAAGGTCTGGGGGGTGAGGGGGGAATATAGGACAATTTCTATGTGTTTTCTTGAATCTCTCAGGAGAATTACTCCAATAAGGAAGTTTATTAAGAAACTTGTGTGGGTTGGGGGGAGAAGTGAAGGTTTTCAAGGTTTTCCTTTATAAAAAACTAAAAAACCCTGTCAACTTCATTTGGACATACAATTAAATATTTTCAAAGATCACTTTTCTTCATTTTAATGTTTCTGAAAATGCTATGCACCTAGAAACCAATGTATCAACTAGGTATGCTGTAGGGTTTTTTTCCTTCAAAACAATCATGAAGTCATTGGTGTATGGACAGAGACAGAGATAATATAAGTGTCTCAGAAGTAAATTAAACACTGAAAATCAAAAGTACCAATCCCACGCAACTTGCCATCAAGGCTTGCTCCACTAATTATTAGAGTAAATGGGGACGTGGTAGGTGGCTCAGACACCCCAAACACTGGGCATGACAGGGGAGCAACCTTGGGAGTCAAACCGGAACATCAAAAAATTCCCGATAACTTCATCTGATGGAGGGACACGGGACAACACTTACTGTGGGATTATGAGAAGGTAGACAAGGCCAAATAAGGCAGCCAGAATGAGGGCAAGCACGACGGCACTGGTGAAATACTCGTCCTGAAGCTGGTGGTACTATGGGACACAGAATCGACCATCAGTGGCCCAGCTTCCAGGAGACATGCAGACTCTGTCTTCCCAGGGATACCGAGGATGCTCAGAACCACTACAGGGTGGAGGAGGACAGTGCCCGTGCCCACACAGACCAGGAGAAGGGCCGGCAAGTGTAGCTGTGTCTGGGGCCCGGCCACTCTGGTCACTGAGACAGAGGACCTACCTTTCGCTCTCGCTCGGCTTGCTTGTACTTCAGGGTGAAGAAGTTCAGGTCAGCCATCTCCAGCTCAGTCTGGCGGGCTTCCAGAAGGCGGCCAATGTACCTGTTAACACGTGTGCCTGGAGTGGTGTGGACAACATTCGTAGAGAAAGAGGAGCGGTTTCTGAGCTTCTCTGAAGTTGTTCTCAATGCCCTCCGCTGCAGCCATGGTGAAAAGAAAAGGAGGTGATCAAACTCTCCACTTACCGCAGAAAAGAACTCATGCTCCCTCCACTCTGTATCATTGCCCTCTGCAGAGTTAGGCTACGCTTGACGATCTGAGATAAAATTATGGGTCCAGCATCTGCTGGTAGGGTGATGCCAGGCCAGTTATGTGTCACTGCTGTGCAGTTCCTCGTCTATAATGGGGTGTCATGGCACCTATGTGGTAGTACTGTGTGGAGGGCAGCAGGGCTCTGCGTGTGCCATGGGTGGGTCAGTGTCCAGCGCAGAACAGTGATACAAACACTGTGTTTTGTTTTGTTTTGTTTTGTTTTTGAAAAATACCAATAAAGTTGACAAATCTACAGCAATTGTGACCAAGAAAACTAGAGTAAAGACACTAGCAAAGTCAAAGTGCAGTGTAAGTTTGCCACAGACCTTGAAACACACATACTGCAACTTACCCAGAATGAAATATAACTATGATATATATGAAATATAACTGTGATAACTAAAGAATTTGAATTCATAACTTTACAATTCCAGAGAAAGTGATTTCCAAGTAGTTTCACTTGAGAATTCTATCAAACATTTAAATTCTATACAACCTCTTTCAGAAAACAGAAGAGGGGCAACACTTCCCAACTTTATAAAATTACTATTACCCTGATATCAAAACTAAAGAGCACAAACAAGGAAAGCTATAGGCAATACCTCTCATGATATAAATCCAAAAACATGTAACAAAATGTTAGCAAACAGAATTCAGCAATATATAAATAGAAATATCTAATATGACCACTTTTTTGTTTTTTTTTTAAAGATTTATTTATTTATTCATACAGAACTGGGGTACAAGCCAGAGATGCAGAGGGTGAGAGGGTTCACCAGGGACAGAGTGGGGAGCAGAACAGGCAGATCGACGAAGTACACTGCTGAGGGGAGCAGCGGGCGGGTCAGGAGAGGTCT